TGTCAAGAGACGATTGTTGAAGATTGATTCTTCTGTTCGACAAAAGTAGATTATGTTAGTGTATCTCTGCCTTATGTCCGGTCTGACACTCACGAAAGACAGAAGGGAAACGGCGTCGCCAAGAACAAAGTGCTGGTGACCTTTTGAAGCCTGCTTTGATATTTGGATCTGGCACCCGGCTGCACTGCTCCTCTCTCTCTTCTTTGCACCTGTCGACCCCCCCCAATCCACATCTTTTTCTGCGACCTTCATCCTCCAACCTCTCCCCATTAGTTTATTAGCTCTTTATGCAACCATCGAAAGCTCTTAGGGGAAATACTACTTTTTACACAAAATTGAATCGTGGACGTGAGTGATAAAACATTTCTGCCATCCCGAGTCACAGCATACAAACCGTGTGCTGTGTCTCGGTTGATGTCTCAGTCTGTTCGATTTTGGACTTTACAACGTTGTCAGTTTCTCCAGCACAGATTAGAGAATCAAACAGAAATGCAATAATAATAACAAACACATTGGTCCATAGGGGCAGATGACCAATGTCCATAAATGTCTCTGGTCTCTGTTACTTTTAGAACAAGATTGAAATTCCCAATTGTATTAGTCAGTTCAGCAGTTTTTTCAAAGCAGACATTTCTATAGAGCAAGCAACAGGTGACACTCAGATAACCAGAATATCGTTCAAAAGTTCACTTGTTATGTAATTAAATGTGAAACCAGCCTATGACACAGACTCATTACATGCATAGTAACATATTCCAAGCGTTTGTTATTAGGTTGATGATTTTGGCTCATAGTTCATTGAGACATTTTATTTCGGGTTTTTTACAAGCTGTGAACCGATTATCAACATTATAACAACTTAAAGCTTTGCAATCTCACTTTTTGACGATTTTCTAATCTTCCGAGTTTTGCAGGTATGTCCATCTATAATACGTTTTACGGTTAACTTTACTATATCGATCTTGAGCTCTTGGTTCTCTTAATGTTAGCTCTGTATAAGCCACCTTTCACCTTCTCTACAGGTGGATGGGGGGTGTTCACGCCCGGCAGATCGGAGGTTACATTGTCGCTCTCGGTGTCAGATGAGTCAGGCTTTTCGCTCCTTGTGGAGAACACTGCGCCACGTGTCGCACTAAAACCAGCTTTTAGTCCTCCATTGTATCAAAAAGGAGCAGAGGTGATTCGACTAAACAGCAACGCTTGCATCACAGCATTAGGGTCATTTTGCAGGTTTTGGTTGATATCGTAATAAACAGTTATTTCCCAGATGTTCTCCAGAGTTTCTCCCCTGTGCCTCTGACTCATAGATTCATGATAGGACCAAGCTGTAGTGTTGTAGAAATCTCTAAAACAACACTTTTAAATACAGTAAATGTTACAACAATTAACAATAACATCCCAGGTTTATTAATGGACATGAAAGTCTCTCACCGTTTATGTAAAGCATGTTGTTGTTTTTTTTATAGCTGTAAACCTATATTCAGCCTGGGCAGATTGAGATGAAATTTGGTGTGTAGATAGATGTGATGGTACAGTAGGAATCAGCATTTCCAGAGGATGGCCCATGTTGGCGGTGTGTGCGCTCTCCGAATGCCTATTCTAGTAATATGAATGTCAGTAGTCAAGCAGCATTAATGGGGGTAAATGAATTAGATGGGACAGTGGCACTCTATTGTGGTAAGCGATGGGCAGATAAGAAAATATATTCCTTTATTCTTCCCACAGTGGGGAAATGTCAGTGTCATTGTTGCGCACATTACGGCTTTCCAGGCGGCTGCTCCCAAACTGTGGAACGCCCTACCACCACACCTGAGGGCCCCACAGTCATTGGAGAACTTCAAAAGAGGACTTAAAACTTTTCTGTTTCCTTCTTAACATTGTTTTAACACTGTTTTAACTTTAATGATGTGTGCTTTTATTGTTGTTGTGCTGTAGCACTTTGAGATTTGTATGTAAAGTGCATTACAAATTAAAGGTATTATTATTATTATTATTATTATTAAAAAGAAGGAAATAAAAGCATTCAGATTGCCCACATGAAACAGAGCTAAACCAAGGTTGAGACAGAATGTAAGCAAACTGATGCTAAATTGTAGATTTTTTTCATAATTAAGAAATGTGTTTGTTTAATCATCAATTGGATTCATATAAAGGGAAAAAAATCTGTAATCGTGGTTCAGGCCATTATCTGCAGCTGTTACTTCGCCACTGTGAATTTGCAGCCATTTTGTTATGGTCCATTGAACCCTAAACGGCTCTGGTGGGAAAAAAAAGATCCGAACAAGTCTGATTGATTTTTCTTACCACTCTGATTTGTGTATGTGTAATTTCCCTCTGGATCAGGGAAGTTCATCAGAGCATAAGACTTTTCATATTATTCCAATACTGACTGCTTATTGGAAAAAATGATTCGAACAATGCAGGATACCCACACATGCTGGTCCTGAGCCAGAGCAAACCCCTGCCTTGCATCTGTCAATATGTCAGCCTCTGGGAGCACATAAAGAGAAAGAGTCAATGAAACGAACGGGTGGCACAGTTCACCGTCCTCGCTGCTGCGGCTAAATGGAAATGTCAAGCTTGCTGTAGCTCCTCTTTGTCTGTCAGTAAAAAGCCCTTTCTTTTGTAGGGAAGCCCGGATGAGACGCCTGTGACAATCAGCAGCTCTCCCCGTTCTGCACTGTATGGATTAGTGAGAAAACATCATCATATAATTTCCCTTTAAAAATCCCTGTGTGACCTTCGACAGCTTTTGACAATAATTCTCACCTTCATTGTGTTTGAACTCAGCATTTAAGGTTTTTTGAACTGAAAGGATCAACTTCAAGGACAAACACAATTAATGGCAAACCTTCAGCAACAAATGGAAGTGGTGGCAGTGTGCATAATCGGTTCTTCTATAAAGGTCCTGGGTTAAAGTGAGTCAGACTTAAGTGGTCTTGTTCTGGCACCTTTATGATGGCAACAAACCAACAAATGGTGTCTTTTATTGTCACTATTTGATAATCACATCAAACCGGTAAAATGCAATTGGCCGCGGATGTAAAGTGTCAAACTTCTGTTGTGTCCTGAGGCAAGACACTTCACCCACATCACCTTGAATGAGTCTGGTGTGTGCGTGAACGGTTGGTGGTGGTCGGAGGGGCCCATGGCACATACAGGTTTCACTTTCGGAAGATTATGATAGATTTGTGATGAATGGATCGATCCTTAAAACTTGAGGCTGATTGGGTTATGAAGTTTCAAAGCTGCTGCACAAATTGTGTATCTTCTGGTTTGTATAATTTATTGCTGCATTCCTGATGATTAACATTGTTTGTTTGATGCTTGTGTGTCTTCTCTTGTGTATGTCAAGGACATCTTTAGTCATTAACTGGAGCCATTTTTGTAATTTGTAATCAGCTGATAGGGGCAGAGGCTGTGAAGTGTGATGGACCAGACTTCAAGCTGCCATATTTAATCCAATCCCAGATCTATTACAGTGGGAGACGGCACTCAGGGCACACAAATCAGATGAGTGCATGGGTCTCATAGATTCAGCCTCCTAAAACCGGGGACACGTTGCTAAATCTTGTGCGGTCAGGATTACTTGCCTTGTGCGTGTTTTTAGTTGCAATACTTGTCCTGACATTGGGAGAGCATCCAGAAGCTTCAGAGAACAGGCACAAAGACCTTCTGAGAGGAGGTGATAGTGTAGCCACTCAGCCTCTGAGTCATGCCACTATGTTCTTGTCAAAATGTTATTTTAATGCTGAATAATATAAAATTATGCCTGTCATTCAAGACCTTTGCTGTTGCCATTGTGCTTGAGTTGTTAAATTAGACCTCTATTTTTACCTTTGCCTGTGCCCACAAGCAAAGCCAAGTAATCATTTGCTTAAATTTACGTTTTCTTTAATTGCACCAATTTTCTGCACTCACAACAGGACAAACTCATTCTGCCGAAGATTTCGTGTTAAAATCAAAAACATGGACCTGTATAATCACTTCGACTCAGGTTTTTAAGAGCAGGTGGGAGCAAAGAGGAGCAAGTCGGAATAATGAGTGTAAATTGCACACAAGAACATTCTGAGGCGGAGGAAACAAATCTGATCCAAAAAGGGCACGATTAGACCGTTATATGTATATATAAGTATATAACGGTCTAATATTGCGTTTATACTGTATATTGCACACGTGATGCTCATCCTCCAAAAGCAAAGAGGTCTCTGTGTCTGAGCTCAGACCCAGAGCAACGTGGAGCAAAGTTTAGTTAATCATAAGAATACTGAAGCAGTAGCTGACACAAAGGGTCATTTGCGAGAACCTGTACTTCGGTGAGCCTCAGGGATACTGAAGACTAAAATTAAGCCTCAGGTCAAACCAACCTGGTTTTATATTGGCACTGGACAATATTTGCCTAATTATCTTACATCATTCTGAAATCTGCTGATATTCAGGTCTGATATAAAAAATAGGTCTTTCACCACCACATTGTAACACATTCTTCAAAACAAGAAAGATGCCCAAGTAGCTCTTGCACAATGAGATTTTCAGTGTAAAATAAATCTGTAGTTAATGCCATTTTTACATTGGTATCAGCAAATATCAGATACTGAACCAAAATATCTAAACTGTGAACTTAAAGCATGTTAACACTTGCTCTGGGTCACTTTACAGTAACTGGACCAAGTCTGGTTCACTTGGGACACAAATGCTGACAATCTGTTCAGTGACCAGTGTACATACTGTATATTCACTTGTTTGGTGTTTTTTCATCCACAAATAAACCATTTTTGACAAAAGTGAACCAGAACTGGTCTAGTGTAGATGAACCAGGCAAATATGTGTAAGCGTGCCCTGAAAGTCACAGTATGTAACTGTCTAGAGGTGGGAAATCACACAGAATGTTAAAGCAAATTGGTATTATGACTCAATATAAAAAGCAAAAATTTACAATGGCTTTAATAATGCGACCTTCACCAAAACTTTACCAACACATTTCTCCTTCTTCTTCACAGCCAACATCCTGACAGTGGTGATCTTGTCCCAGCTGGTGCTGCGTCGTCAGAAGTCCTCCTACAACTATCTCCTGGCCCTGGCGGCAGCCGACATCCTGGTGCTGCTCCTCATCGTTTTCGTCGACTTTATTTTGGAAGATTTTATTTTGGCCGCGCCTTTGCCCCCTTCCCTAAACAGCGCCGTGCAAGTCCTGGAGTTCTCGTCCATCCACACGTCTATCTGGATCACGGTCCCTCTCACCATCGACCGCTACATCGCCGTGTGCCACCCGCTGCGCTACCACACCGTGTCCTACCCCGCCCGCACGCGAAAGGTCATCCTGGTGGTGTACGTGGGCTGCCTGCTGTCCGCCGCGCCATACTACTGGTGGCCCGAGTTGTGGCACAGCCTGTACAAGACGGGGGCTGTAGTCGGCGGCGACGCGACCCGGAGAACCGCGGCACAACACGTTCTGGTTTGGGCCCATTGCGCGACTGTCTACCTCCTGCCCTGCACCGTGTTCTTCACCCTCAACGCCGGGATTGTGCGCAAACTCCGCCGCAGACGCAACTGTTTCCGCCTGCGTGGCTACTCCACCGGAAAGACCACAGCCATCCTGCTCGCCATCACCTCCATCTTTGCGGTTCTGTGGGCGCCGCGAACGCTCATGATCTTGTACCACTTCTATTCCTCGCCCCCGGCCTCTCAGGGAGCGAGCCAGCTGCTGCATCTGCTCACCGACCTGGCTAACATGCTAGCTCTTCTCAACACCGGCGTGAACTTTTTCCTCTACTGCTTCATCAGCAAGCGTTTCCGGGGTATGGCGGCCAACGTGCTGCGCGCCCTGCTCCACTGCCGCAAGCAACCGCCTCCGTTCTACGCCAGCCACAACTTCTCCATCACCAGCAGCCCGTGGATCTCCCCAGCCAACTCGCATTGCATTAAGATGCTAGTGTACCAGTACGATAAAAACGGAAAGCCCATTTGCATCTCCTCGTGAGGCGCTACCCCACTTTCACTGCAGGTAGAAAATAATGGGGTTGTCTCCTAGGCGACCAGATTTAGCCACGATTCTTCTTTGGGGCTTGGAAATGTCAACGAGCCCAGAGAGCACAGAGCGGGGAGACTTCAGCTAGTGCCAAACATTGGGAAAGGTGGAAAACTTTGATCAAAACAAAAACAAAGTCCTAAAGAGATTGTTTTTTAATGAGCAAAAAAATGATGTGCAAAAAAGGACTGTTGCCAAATGGGCTTTTCTTCTAAGTCCAAACTGCGGCACCTACATCCGGACAGTGCTCCGTCTGTGAACAGTAGGAATGCAAAGTGTTTGGTGCTAATTCTCAAGCACTAATTACATCTTCGTCGATCCTCGTGGTTTCATTTTGGCCTCGGTTTGGACCAGTGTTTCCCAACGAAGAGCATTGAACATGAGCTCACTCTTTCCACTGCCCATAGAACCAATAAACATTACCAAAACACAGCTACAGTACGCTCAGAATGTAAATGTTTCTTATTTATTGATGGTACACCTGACTGTTATAGTGTTACAAACTATATATTTAAGGTTCCATGTCTTTGTGTAATGTTGCTATTACATTTCCAATTTTAGGAAGAGGAAATGTCTGCTATACGTAGATAGTCCTCTCTAGCTATAACTGGGTTTGTGATGACAGAATAGAATACATTAAAATATGAATGTAATTTTTAACCTTTTAAGCTTTTTACAAAAACTCTGGAAGGAAAGTCTGAACAACAGAAACGCAGCTAACGAATACGTAAAGTGGCCAGCAGAAAAGGACATCATATTTAATGTGAGTTGTAAAAGCATTTCACATTTACGTTTAAATATTCGCCGTAAAAAAAACCGTCGCGCAGGATAGATGTCTTCTAATATGCGAGTCGTGGGAACAAATTAAATCCAACCCATGAAAATGTCAGAATATTACAAGATGGCCACACACGTTTCAAAATCACCAAAAGACCATATTTCCCTCTCGGTTGATTGAAAAATGTGATTGCATACATTCTACTGTGACGATTGCATATCTGCTGTACTTGTGAAAACGGCTCGAATGCACAATATCTCGGCTGGGGAATAATTGATTGTCCTCTCCTGAATGAAGGCCCTCTGAATGTCTCCTGCTCTTTCGTCAAGCTCCTCCCCCTGGCCTGGTTTCTTTCCACTTTATGTCAAACGCACTTGTTGGATGTTAATTTCACAAGTGTCCTCAGAGCGGGTTTGTTTTGTAAGCAGCCCATAACACGCGTTCCCATCCTTGACCTTAATTCCTGTCAGAGGGTCAATTTCCAATAATGACTTCAGTGCCAACGCAACCCTACTGTCTATACTGTCTTCTGCTGGGGTCGAATCAGAATCAACGCTGTTTGTATTGTTGGATGACGTTAATTTCATCTTTTGATCCCGAGCTGTGGTGACTCATTACCGAATGGCCTTTTGCGTCGATGGCAATTGTGTTGGTCTGGTGTCTGCGGTCTCCAGAGAGCGGTGCGAGGGGTGTGCGGAGAAACTCAAACAGCACCAGCAGCCCAGTGTCACATGCAGGTGTCCTTCCCCCCCATGGCTCCATGTGAGAGCCACACACAATTACACACACACACACACACACACACCTGTGATTAAAGCTGGACTGTTCCACTGTACGATATACAGTAGGAGGAAGTGTCAATATTGCATTCAGTTTTGGATTAAAAAAAAGAATGAATCCATCTGAGCCGTCCTCTCCGCATGTCTGTCAATGACATCACTGCAGAATGTTGACGAACCTCCTGATCACCTTTATTAACCCTTTAATGTTCACTCCTGGAAGAAAGCGATGCAATTTTTTCTTTGTCTAGGATGTGGGAAGACTAATATCACAAATAATTTGTTTTGTGACTTCAAAATTATCCACCAATGGTTGAGCAAACTATTAAAGGGTTAAAGGAAGGAATACTATGAAAATATCAACTTTGAGTACATTGTATTTGTTTATTTTATTTTATTTATTGGTTTATTTAATAGGGACAAGTGTACACAATCTACATGTGAAACACTACAACTTTTATAGCCAAGGCTAATTTGCAATGTCCGTCCCTAGAAGGGCTTTGAACACAAGTAAAAACACATTTTACATTGTTACATACATTATACAAAGTATCCCTCAACTCATCAATGATCACACAACTGGTTTGTTTAAAAAAAAAAATCAGTTCGTGTTCAAAACCAGCCCAGTCCAAGTTCAGTTTAAGATAAGGATATTACCCCCAAAAACACACTTTTTGTTTCATTTGAAAAAGATGCGATTTGTCCCAACAGAAAGAATTATTGCTGATCTAAACATGTGATAATGGCCAAACGTACATGTGAAAACTAGTGATAGAGAGAACCAGTTAGACTGATTTTCTTCCATTTCTTTTGGAAAAAAATCCAGTACTGTAGCTCAGAATCCACGATGCCGTCCACGTTAACCAATCAAGTGATGCCAAGGGCTGTCAATCATTGCGCTGATGCTTGTAGCTGAGCGCATGCTCGTTTTCACGGGGGGTTCGAATCAAGCCTCCATTAGGCTCTGGATCTACATGAAAACTGAACAAAGAATTCTTAACATCCGCGCTGAGTTACCCATTTATATACTGAACCTATATCCATAATCAGATCCTCTGCAGATGTGTCCTATAATGTGCAATCACTGATACAGTAATTCCGGGTTTACCACGATCGCTTTAAAACATTATTTTTGTCATGAAAACGTTAACAGATAATTCTGAAAACCTCTGTGCATGTGTATTAATAATGTTTATCTATAATGTGTTCTCTGATTAACATTTAAATGTGTTGATTGATTGTTACGGACACGTAGGTGTAGACCAATCAGAAAGGAAGGGGGAGGGAGCTTGGGTCATTTTTTTCAAATCATGTACCTCTCTCTTTTTTCTGACAACCTCCAGACAATCACTTTAAATGTTTCAGTATAATTCACAATCCAAAACTGAAACTGATGTTACAAAAGTAACATTGTGAATTATAAACATCAAACACTCCATTTATGTATAATATCCGTACATACTTTAAAATACAAACTTATATTTCAGTAATTATGGTTTAAATTCAAAATAATGTCTAAGAAAAATCTTCACAAAAGTAGTTTTACATTTTACAACTGCTCAAGTCACCCTCATGCCTGAGTGAATGAGGCTGATCTCACTGTACGGTGGCCCTAAAGGACAATCATGTTCATCCAATGTTACTAAACATGGCGGCAGCTCTCGTCCTGAAATACTAACGATTTAAAAATAGTTTTCGGTTCCTGCATGTGCGTCCATTTCCAGAGGTGAAGCCACAGCAACAGCACGACAAGAAATAGTTTGGGGACTCTGTTTTTGAATGGGGCCCTGCAGAACTAAAATGAATCTACTCAATATTCTGGTTAAAGGTAAATCATACCTCGATCCATCTCCTATTGTTCTTCATGTCCTGGAATGGACCTTTTGTTGATTATTTTTGACAAATTTTTATTTTGATGTAAGTCCTCTTCTCCTTTTTGAGTTTACTTCCTGTCTGTTCAGTTGATATCCTGTCCCGCTCTAAAGTGTGTCCCCTGAGTACATCTAAACCAGTGGGGGCAGGTCCTGGCTCAAAAGTGTCCGTGAGCATGAGCGCTGACATGACTGTAATCTGACTTCTTGTCTGTGGGGGTGTACCCGGAAACAGAATTATCCAATGAAATTTTACGACAACTTTTTTTCCTCTCAAAAACGGCTTTACATCCTGCTCCAAAAGTCCAAAAGGGGCTGCCCGCGGCCATTTTGAAAAAGAACGAAGGAGAGAAAAGTGATCACACATAAGTTTCAACGGCGTCACTACGTCCGTTAATATTTACAGACTATGATTTCATCCTGAGCTCCATTGTGTTTTCTCCAAGTTTGATTTTGAATTTCTGTTGTATCCTGAATTTTTCTTGTTATTTTAAATCATGAAATCTCCTTTTATTCTGGACGACACATGGATAAATTAACACAACATTCAAAACACAATATTTTTTATCATAAACCACCATTGCAGTAACACATGATCATTATATGGTGTTTATCAAATTGATTTTCTAGCTCCATCTTACTTCCATGCTGTTTCCCCTTGACAGTCACTGAGACAGACAGAAGCTTTAACGTTTGTGCCATAGACGCTGTAATATAGGACTTTGCCAATGCATTGAGAATGGACGTATCAGCAGAATAAAAAATATAAACAAGCGCTTGTGCCATAAATGTGTCTCACTTTGTGATTTTCTACACTTTCTACGCAGGTGTCTCCGTCACTGGCAGTGTGATATGATTGTACCGAGTCATGTACTGTTGGCTTGCATATTTATTTTATTATGAATGTACTGAGTGTTTTAGAACATATGTATTGCTCTGTGACGTGACAGAAGAGTATTTGCTTGAACATTTTTTATGATGAAACTCAATAAAGATTTATCTCCAGAAACTGAGCGGTCGTGTCGAGACATTTATTATGAAAAATCAGCTCTGAGAGAAAATATCTGCAAATGAAGTTAAACTGTAACAATAAAAGTTTTGCAGTCAAAAATAAAACATACAAACAAAATTATTTTATTACTAGTGTAAGTAACCGAGAGTCACAATCCAGGAATTTCCTTTGGTATTTAGTGCAAACAAGTTACACAAGTGTAAAAAATAGATGAAAAGATCCTGCGTTATTCAAATATTCTGATAAACAAATACACACAATAGACATTTAACAGTGCAGATTATCAACAAGTGACAGAATAACTGAAAATGTGTTAATTAATGTGTGATTAATTTATCTTTACTTAAAAGGTCAAATGTTTTGGGGAGCGTTTTCTGTTACATGGTCCAATTCTGAATAATTGGAATACTTCCATCCATCCATTTTCTTCCCCTTAATCCATTTCTCAGGGGGGTGGCAGTCAGAGCTGCACCCAGTACACAGAGCACCAGCCCCTCACTGATCCTCTTGCA